TTACAATGGCTATTTTAACACTTTTGTTGATCCTTTTCTATCTCTACCTGAGAACTCCCACACCGAATCTTTTGCCATGTCTATTCGAATACCACCTGTCGCAGCACACAAAGATAAAATTGATGTAATTTTAGATGAACAGGTTGTGTTAACCATTGATGGAGAGAATCGGTGCTTCTTTAATTGTTGGGTAGATCAACGTTCTTATTGTGCTCCACATTATGCGCAATCATGTGAAGATTTTGGAGATGAGTTGCAGGAGTACTTGTTATTTGGAGTCCAATGTCGGTACTTGATTAAAATGAGGGATCGTCCGCCTTGGTCGGATCATATTCTTGAGGACAAGTTGCCATTTGCATTGTTATCAACCGTGGAGTTCAGATATTTGGTTCTTCAAAAAGATCGTCCCCCGTGGCTTGACTTGAAGCATTTGGAGTATCAGATTGACTGCAGCCTATACTATCTATTCACTCGACAGGGTCGAGTTTTCTCCCACCCCGGGAGAGTTGATGAGAACACCGGACGACATTTACTTATTTTATTTAAGCTTTATTTATTTTCTTGGACTATTATTTAAATTTGGACTTGTATGGGCTCAGATCCAAGCTCGTTAGGGTTGCTTTACTATTTAAACCTATTTTGCATTGTAATTTTGACGATGATGAATTAGAATTGAAATATTTTTTGGTGGTTTGCAGCCGTTTTCTCCCTCCCCTCTCTTCCTTTGGTTTCTTCTCCTCTTCTCCCTTCTCTCTGTTTCTCCTCTCCGTTCCTTCTTTCTTTCTTATTCATCCTACATCAAAAAGTTTCAACATAACATAGACCGAGGAACAATGTACAAGAATAAAGTAGTATCCTTAGCTTGTCAAGGAAAGCCCTAGTTAATAAAGAGTTTTGATCTCCTCCATGAAAAACTTGTCAAGGCGTGCTTCTATACCTAATTTGCAGGGATGCAAAATACTCATCATTCATGTTCACACTCTCAAAAACAAAATTTGTGAGTTTTGAATTATGGAAACAATCAAGCCATAGGCTATACTGAGTTTAGATAACCTTGAGTGCCATAAGGGGAATTCACGAGATTGTGTTGGTGTTTGTGTTTGTGGATTTTACGGACAAAGGAAATAACCTTCTTGTAGAACTTTATGCTTTTTATAGGCTTGAGCTAGGGTAATACTTCTTGCTAGCGAAATTTGGTTTCACCTAAATTCAATAAATGCCATCTAGTGTGCCCAAAGCTTCTATTGGCTCATGAGATCATCAGAAATTCATAGATGAGATTGTAGTTTTCTGTCAGGTTCATTGCAGCTCCTGATTTCTTGCTAATGCTGGGTTTAAAGAAATGTAAAAGAATTCATGGGTCATACAGCAAATCACTGGATTAAATGGGTCTTCTTATCCCTAAGATTGTATGTATGGTCCAGGCGTCATTGTAAGAAAGGATTGACCTTTTAAAAGTTTCTAGCATATAATGGAGTATTATTTCTCCCATATGTACTTCTAGAGATCAGGTCTCTATCCCTCCCTTCATGCAATCTAATAAACCATTAGGGGACTATGCTATGGCCCCCACCTAAACACACGTGGTCTTATTAAAAAAGTCCTAAAAAGCATCAATTAGGCGGGACTCTGTATAAGAAGGCGAGGGAGGATGTTGTTTGTCCCCAATTCTTGTGGGATCAAGGTCGAGAGCCCAGTTCTCATATTTCACTTATGAAACAAATCAGGCGTCCTTGCCTAAGCTATAGCTAGCAATGTATTTCAATCCTTGGTTAATAACTAAAGCTTCAACAATTTTTGAACCAACTAATTTTTGAACTGCTAGTCCTCAAACACCAAAATAAGAACAAAAAATGGGCAGAAATCCTTTTTTTTTTTTTTTTTTTT